AAGAAAAAGATGATACAAAGGCGGAATGCACGCATTGTCACCATGAATTTAAAACTAGGTATGCAAATACTACTGGTTTATACGCCATTTGAAGTATATGCATCCAAACATAAGTACATGTACTAGAAAAGGAACTGAATCGATATAAAATTTGTCGCACGTACAAAATGATACGCGAAAGTTTGTTAAACCAAAAGATACAACAAAAGGAATTGCTCGAATGATAGTTCTAGATCTGCAACACGAAAAAATTTCGTGTTCCCGACTTGACCCGATATTTCTCGCACACCTTTAGTTGTTAGTAATGTAAATATTTTATTTATTAATAAATATTAATATTTCATTAATATTTTATTAATAAATGTTGTTAGTAATATATTATCGATAAATATATTTTTGAAAAAACAAGGGAATAAATGAACTTGCCACGAGTGTTGCAAGAAAGTATAATTTATTTCTATTTTACAAAAATTGGGAATGGTTCCGTTGCATAGATGAAACAGTAATATGAAAGAAATAAAATAAATACGTTTCGTAAATATTAATATTACGAGTAATATTAATTACGAGTTTGCTTGTCGGTTTTCCTCAAGAAATCGATCAACTTCTCCGGATTTCTCGAGCAAAATCCAAATTCCTTTTGCGAAGGATTCAAGTAGAGGCTCAAATTTGACCCAAAGTAACTAACAATTTGTTGAAATCGTTCTGTTTGAAAGAAAGTGCAATCTAATATTCGATCATTTAGGTCAAGTTTGAGCTGTGTCGTTCAAGTTCTTGTTAAAACGACTCGTTATTTTGACAAACGATTTGGAAGTTAATTAACTCTAGTTTCTTAAATTACGAGCGTGGGTTTGTATTAAATAACGTGGCAGATATGTACAGTTTTGGCTGGACGACCGATTCCACATGTTTCTCGCGACTTTCGCTCAAATTATTCGCGATTCCATTTTTCAACTCGTTTTGATCTACTAAAAATTGGACAGCTTTGCAAATTTGCATTATTTTAGAAAAATTTGATTACGTTCTCTACGACTTTTAGTTCCATTGGCTCAATTATCAAATTCAATCGAATTTTAAAAATTATGTTTCTCTTCTGTTTGGGAAGACAATCAAATTTTTAGACCTACGATTCAATCTGAGTGTCGGAGAAATCATTTTCATTAAGCTCCATCCTAAATGGAACTTCTTTCGTATTTCTATAGAGAATCAAATAATCCGAATGTTGATAGCTTTTGCGTTTTTAATTAAATCCAAATTATTCTAAATTCCGAGATTTCCATTTTTTACGAGACAATGTCGATCGAGCTTCGTCACAAATGAATGTTCTCGCGCATCTAAAGGAATCCCAGTATAACCTGACTTCCAATTCTAATCTCAGCTTCCAAATTACAACCAGATCTTTCGTCGCTTGAAAGATAATTAAAATTACGATAGGAATATCTCGAATTTCGAAGGATCCTCCGTGAGGATCACATCGGATTTGAAAGTTTCCACCTCCCCTCCCAAAGAAGTTCCAAGTAATCTGACTTTCGATCTTCGAGTGAAACCCACCGTCAAATCCCAGCCTTCGAATCTCATCGAAACGCAATCGATCCTCCGTCCTATATATCGGTTGTCCCGATAATCCCGATAACCGAGACTGTTCGCGCGCTCAACAAAAATTGCCCACTTTTCGTGCTCTGATTGAAGATAACTCTCGGAAACGTTCCTAAAAGCAAATCAACGAGTCGAGTCGCTCGAATCCCGAATCACTCGAATGCTTTCACCGGTCGTGAAATCAACGATTTATCGGTTCTGCTTTTCTCCAGGTGGTGGGACCGGCGTCGAGGAGGAGAGGAGGACAAATCCTAACACAGTCCGGGCATCAGAAACGAGCGAGGTTCTAGAAGAAAACGTTCCCTGGCCTGGCTTGCGGGCACAGAAAGCTCGAACAATCGTGCCTTCGTACAGCGTCCATGACCTGTTGAAAGTGGCTGGATACTTGGACAACTGCCCCCGGCTGAATCCTGCGAACAGCGTTGTAAATACTATACATTTATTGCACTGTAATGATTAACCACTTGCGCTGGCAACTGACTGCGGACCATAATGAGTGACCGTATACAATAATTCGTCGCTATCTTTTTGAAATCGCCGGTATAATATCACTGGATAGAAATTATTGAGAAGTAACAAATTTATTGTTTGTTTTGCCCGGGTTATACTTAAATATCCTTAAAACTGAGGAAATATTGCAATTTTGGGACAAAAAAATTCTCGACGTGCGTGACACGTCATTCCAACGCAAGTGGTTAACCTCTTGCGTTGACAACCGATTGCGGACC